ATACATTGATCATCTCCGTTACAATTCCTAATAACTTGGATCCAGTCATTTCTCCATTCTACATTTTCTTTACGGAATCTGATAAAAAAGAATAACAAATAATAGATTGAAGCTAATGTCACCCCAATTTCCCATATTTTAGGTAATATGGTTACGTGAACATTGACAACACTGGACTTTAGATTAATTATTTTGTGCTTAGAATGAAAATTGATTTCGATTTCTGAAAACTAGAAAAAAAGTGATTATATTGTTCATTTACCTATGAAACGTGATTCCTGGATTTTTTTTCTTTCGGTCACTACGGTTTTTACACCATTTTACCACGCAAGACATCTTGTTTTAACTTATTTTTATCTCCACTTAACGTATCGGCTGCTTTGACGTTTGCACGCGTAATGGCTGACTATGGTGTGAATGTGTGTGTGCCGGCTTGTACATATAGCGACCTGGCCGACTCTGAGCGACACAGTTTGTTGTTTACCGGGACTCTGTCCGCCTTTTTTTATACGTCCATGCTCGCCGCCATTTTATTCATGATAAGTCATATCGGACATGCGACTTTTCGGTGTTTATTATGAATATTGCTTTGATGAAACTATATTACAAAACGAGATTATTCAATTACTATGGTCAAGTACAGTGCGTATCGATGTGAAAGTGCTACCTACAATAGAACACCAGGATTAACGTTTAATCAGTAAGTTTTTATGTGTCTTTGTTGTGTACTGAAATGTCTTTGAGTCTTTTCGAAGCTTATTTAAATATTATCGTAACATGTAACATTTTTTACGTAGGATTATTTATCTAAGACACTTCCGGTGAAAACTAATATCCTAAAAGAAAAGAAATAGAAGTAATCAGGATAAATCATGATAGGAAATTCCAATTCTGACAACTGAAGTACTGTTGCCATAACAGAGGACGGACTCGGTATCAAAGACAAAAAGTTTCTCGGCATTAATTTTGTTTGCATTGCATTGTATTTTGAATGTGAATGCAATCAAGAACGTAAATAGATAGGTACCTATTACAGACTAGCTATTCATATTTCTTGGAACATTGGCATCGGTAGGTATATAACCCAAATAACCACATAAACAATTTTGTTCTAGGTTTCCAAAGGATGAAAGTACTCGGAATGCATGGTTAAAATATATGAAACGTCAGGATTGGCAACCAAATACTTATAGTGTTGTAAGTGTTTTTTGTTTTAAAATAAACAAAAATAATGATTTTAATAGTTGGATTAAATGTGATTATGTCGATTATTCACTATTTGACTCGAACAATCCAGATCATGACATAAACCACGTCCACTTGCTTATTAAAGTTGTTGTCAAATTTTATTTTGATCTTAGATGTAAACATCAATGTAAAGAAACAAATATATCTCAGAGAAATTTACTAAAAAAACTTGTATTATTTCAAAATAAAAAGATAAAAACTATGCCTTAAATTTTTATTTCAATTTTCCTAATTGTATCTATGTCTTTTCCCTGTGTTAATTTTATCTCCGTGCTCAATTTCATCATTATCGGTTCAGCGATTTCGCCTGGCTAAATTCGCCATGAAGATATTAAACAGACAGATTTTTACATTTATAATATTATTAGCATGGACATCACATTAGGACCTATCTATTCGGATAGGTATTTCATGAAACAATAATGACATCCATTATTCTACTATACTAAATGCGGCCCATGCTTTGGTGAGTTTCAATGTGTGTGTATTTGCCACGCTGTTTAAAACTGAATATTCCGTTTGCTACTAGTTATATGTCTGTGGTTCAGACTGATAAATGTCAATCGAGTACCAGATTTTTTGCAACAGGGAGATTGGGCGATCAAAATAGATTTTTCACAAGCATATTTTCACGTTCCTATTGCTCGCGCTCATCAGCCATTCCTGAGGGTTCTCTACAAATCGGAGAATTCAGCGGAACCAGAGCTTTTGCAGATAACGAGTCTTCCATTCGGTCTTTCGACGGCACCAGTGACGTTTGCAACAGTCACGAATTGGATCGCACAGGTATTGCGCAACAGAGGGATGAGGGTAATCGTATATCTCGACGATTATCTGGTTGTCAATCAGAACCAAACGACATTACAATGTCAGGCTGCGGAAGCCGTACGAATTCTGAGTTCACTTGGTTGGAGTGTGAATTACAAAAAATCGGTACTGACTCCAACTCAGACCTTCGAATATCTGGGTGTCACCTGGGACACAAGACGAAATATCAAATATATTCCTGTCGAGAAAAGAATACGAATCGGGACAAGACTGACACATCTTCTAGATCTCGGCCTTTGGTGTCTCAATGACGCTCAAAGAATTTTGGGGATGCTGAATTTCGCGTCGTTTGCCGTTCCCAGAGGTCGGCTTCGTTGCCGCCCCTTACAACACGCAAGTGGTGTCTTACCAAGAGATCGACCTCATTTAAAGTGCCCGATCGACCCTCAGGTTCTAACAGAATGCCGGTGGTGGTTGAAAGCACTGGGGACGACAACGCCCATTCATTATCCTACCGTTGCTCATTTTTTGACAACGGATGCTTCCGGCACCGGCTGGGGTGCATTAATAGACGGAATTCATTGGACTGGCGCTACCTGGCACGCCGAACAAATATCATGGCACAGCAATATCAAGGAAATGTGGGCAATAGTACACGCCGTTCAACTTAAACCGTTTGCGAAATTCGACTGTGTTGGTGCAGTCCGACAACAAGAGTGTGGTAAGCTACATAAGGAACGAAGGCGGACTTCGTTCGAGAACCTTACTACAGATGACTTGGTGTCTATGTCAGCTGCTAGACCAGGACAACATTCATCTTGTTCCTCAATACATTCCCGGACTATACAATGTGGAGGCCTGCTTTCCCGACAGAAGGGTCCAGCAGAATGGACGCTCACACAACAAGCCTATCTAAAGGTATTCAACCGCTTTGGACACCAGAGATCGATCTCTTTGCGTCGCAAAGTGCACACCTTCTCCCACGTTATGTTTCACGAGACTGCACAGATCCGAAAGCAGAGTACCACGATGAATTCAGCAACGAATGGAATTATCACAAGGCATGGATATTCCCTCCGCCATATCTGGTACCCCGAGTTCTAGCACACCTAAACAGAGCCAGGGGCATGTATCTTCTGGTCGTTCCTCGTTGGAAAAAGGTATTTTGGCGCCCGGATCTGAAACGCAGAACTGTAGCCGCACCTTGGACAATAACAGATCTGAGGCACAATCTAAGAGACACACGAACTCGGAAACCACCAGCTCAAGTAGATCAGATGTATCTCGAATATTGGTACATCAGGGGTGGAACCAGCTATTGACCAGTTGGTCGGGAGAAGAGATCGAGTTACTAAACTCTAGCTGGAGAAATTCTACTAAAAAAGTTTACTCTTCAATTTCGAATAAATGGCAAAACTGGTGTAAAAAAATAAGACTATATTAGTCTATAAATCTGCCATAGCTACCTTGGCTATTCCTAACGCAGACTCTATAAGCAACGATCCTATTGAAAAGAGAACTCTTAAAGCAATAGCTCTGGCTACTGCCAGCAAAATAGTTAAAAGATCTTTTATATGGGACCCATCCAGTGAAGTAGCCTGGCTGTCAACGAATGTTCCCGCTCGCTTAACACTTTATGAAGTGTCACGTCGTACCGCTCTGATACTACTTCTTGCATCTAGCCGCAGGGTACACGACGTCACTCTGCTGCATATCAACGAAGATAATTTCGAAGATCATTCGGACCATGTCATACTGCATCCACGGTTCGGTTCCAAGACCGACAATTATATGCACAGGCAGTCGTCGTAGAAATTGATAAAAGCAGACGACAGGACGTGTCCGGTTTATTGGCTTAAGAAGCTGATAGAAGTATCAGCCTGTCGCAGAGTCGAACTGTATACAGAGGTGAAACATTGTGAAACACTGTTTATAAACAAATGTTGCCTAATGAATACGCAGCTTAAGAAATATAGCATTATGCTGGCACTTCACTTTGCCATTCGTGTTTGCTATTTATTAAGTCCTTTTTATTCATCACAGCTAGCGGACATTGCCACTAATGGCGGCCACTTAATGCGTCCCCAAGCTGCGGTCAAGTTATTTCATACATTTTGTATAGTATCGGCGCAAACTGTGCGTTCGAGTGGCCGCCACTAAGCCACTAGCGGCGGAGATCAGTGGCGGTTAATAGGTGGTTTTTAAGTTAACAAATATTAGGCATTACATGGAGATGGCATACACAAGGGTAGCGTTGTCATCAACTCTGCCAGGCAAACCATGATACAAAAATCATTCATTGCGAAGTTTCAAGAAAACAGTTTAATTGATAACTGACTTGTTCATGCAATGGCAGTGCTCCTTCTTTCAGTTTCAAATAATTATTCCCATTTAAGTTAGTAAGTTTCCAAATACAAGTTGTGTGAGAGAGGTAGGGCATAGCCGATTTTCCGCTCGAATTGGAGCGCCCGTCTGGGGAAGTAACACGGCCACCATACAGAAGATCACAGTAAAATAACACTTCTCTTTGATGATGTTGTGTTTCTGTTGGTGAGTAAGGTTCCAGGGCTCTACGGAGTAGGGGATTGGATCAGGGTTAGTGTTACCATTTAGGAATTTCAAAAGTCCTGACAATAAACCTGACATTTCGAAAAAAATCCGGACTTTTTCGTCACAAAATGGTACCATTACTCACTTAGTTACAATGGTATGGTATTTAAATCAATATGTACTTTTATTATTCTTAAACTATCGTCTAAAAGTCTCGACATATCCGGACTAATCCGGACGGATGGTAACCCTAGTCAGGGTAGGCAACGGCGTTAGGGATATTTTTTATTTCGCAAACCTATATAGGCTTTGGTGGCCTCTTACCACCAGGTAGCTTTTACCATAAACAGAAGAAAAGCAAGCTTTTTAATTTAAAGCTAAATAAATACCTACTCTGAGTTATCCAGAATTTATATTAACATTAAATTTCTCACCAATAAGTGCCCGCGCCCTGACTGGTGAGGTCCATCCCATGGTCGGGGTTGTAGTTTTCCTCGTCCATGACTTTGGACAGACCGAAGTCGGTGATTTTGATCTCGCCGCACACGTTCCCCTCCGTCAGCAGAATGTTGCCGGGCTTCAGGTCGTAGTGGATTACGGGGGGCTTGATCTCGTTCAAGTACTTTAGCGCGGAGACAACTTGCATCACTATTGAACGGGCCTCGCGCTCCGGGATTGTCTTGTGCTGTGGATAAATGTTACATGAATTATTAATTGAGTAAAAGTTATAAAACAAAGGTAAGATTAGGTACTTTTAGAAAATATTGACTTATTTTTTATTGCCTTTGAAAGCAGACAAGCGGACGGGCCACCTGATGTTCAGTGGTCACCATCGCCCATTGACATTGACGTAGGCAAAACTTCAAAATTTTAATTATTCCTAAGACTCGGCTGCATCGCCATCTACCGAATACGTTGTGAATCTAAACCACCCACCTGAATGCACACACCTTCGATCATGTAAACGCCTAGATACCGTATTAACTCCAAGGAAGCGTCAAAAAATATCTACTACATATGGTAGATAAGCTCGTCGCTACACACGCACACTTTGACTGCTTTCAAACAATCCGATATTAGAATCACGCACACATTGCGCGTAACATGAGTCGTCTTCTTTGTGTGGTTTATTTGGATTTCTCTATCTAAGCGTGTGTAGAATCAGTCCAGCCGTTAAGGAGAAATTCAAATAAAACTACAGAGCTACAGCGCCACCTTCCGGGTCCAGTTACGATTATAAACCATAATGCACTTACATGCACACATAAAATGTCATTGAAATCGATCCAGCCGTTTTTTTAGTTTTAGCAAGACTACAAGAACAGCAATTGGTTTATGGTAGGGTCGCGTAAGATCAGATGCATAGAATTCACCGCGAACGAAGCGATATTTAAATAAACAGGCATTAGAAATGTTGTCAATTTAGGGTCGGATATTTTCTTCTATGCACCCTAATATTTTTAGGAACCCTCCTAAAATTCGAATGAACTACCGAGTCAGAAAAAATATTCTGCCACATTGAAGGCGTACATCACAGAATCTATTGGATATATCAAAATAAATAGTAATTGACAAGATTGTTCTTAATAAAGCTTTTACCATGAGTTAGTAAAAACTGGTAGAAATATTTAAAAAAAAAATTTGCTACACAGTATAACTCAACTCAGATGCGTCCGATCTTAGGCGACCCTATATTATATTAACAGAGATGACTGTCAAATAAAAGAGATACTGGACAGCTGGAAAACATTATCAATAAAATATTATCTTGAAAAAGCAAAAGGCCATTAACTGCAAATTAGTAAGCACAAACTTACCTGCTTGAGATAAAAATCGAGATCATGTCCGTTGCAGTACTCGAGAACTGTACAAAACGAGTTGCCGTCGATCTCAAACACGTCGTAGAGCTTCACGATGCGCGGGTGATCCAACGCCTTGTGGATATTGTACTCCCGTAGGGCGTGTCTGCAATAAATTCGTAATATGTCTTTAGTCATATATTTACAACATCTACAATAAAGTTTCCTACCGTTAATATTACTGATTAATACTGGTAGCTCTATGAGTAAGCTATACACCCCGGTAAACTTCTCTAGCAACGACAGGCGAGGAAGCCTGCGCAGTAGCAATTTTACATACAAAAAGTCAAACTTAAACTGTTATTAATAAACGAGGAATATCGTAATACGTGTTTTGTCCATGTCACTCAGATGCCATTCGTCATTTTATGAACAGAGACAAAACATGGAGTAACTAATCCAAGCTTATTCCTCGTTTATAAATAAGGGGGCGCAAGTTTATTTGTCTGTGGCTCAAGAAGTTTGCCGCTACCTATACTAAATTATAATTGTTGTGCTTTTTATACAAATGTAAGAATGTTATGCTATCAGCAATGTTCTAGAATAAAAACCTAATATCTACATTTTTGTTTAATCAATGGCCATAATAAAATGTTTAGTTTTAACGGTATTCATCCTATAGCTTCAACCTTATCAGTTAGTCGTAACCTATTTTTTCAAACAGACCTTAAATTTACTTGATTCTGTAAATTGAAACATAACAACTATATTACATTTTTGTTAATATAGTACTTTTCTAAGTACTCCAAAATAATTAAATTTATATCAAACCTTTCATTGGAATCGAAAACAATTGCGATATATGTTAACAATACATGGCACAAAGAAGCTCTCGAATTTCTTACTATTATAGTGTGTTTACTGGAAAGAAAAACTTGTAAAACTATGTCACTCATCTTTTATTTTGCATTATGAAATAAAAATAGCAGATGTATTTATACAGTTATCTAATTGGTATATTATGGATTATTATATTCCATGTAGTTATGGCAATAAGATTCATTCATGGCATCGTCAGTTTCTATGAAAACCAAGTTGCGCCCCTGTCAGACGTAAAAACAAACTAGCCTTTTCCATACAAAATTTGGAGCTGACGATACGAACTGCTCCGTAACTGTCAAAATTCGTACTTGGACTCAGGTTCGTAAGGATGATTACGTACTCGCGTTAGGACGACGCCTGTGGAATTTACGGAATTACAAATTTGTTGATTCTAAAATTATACTTTCAATGTCATTCGATCATTAAGCGTATTTAAGAAACAATGGAAAATATATCCATTATTGCCTTACTGACCATGCAACAAGGCTACATATGATCTAATCTACTCGGCAGCTGTTTCACTTTATATCGATGTGGTTTACAATTACCGTTAATTAGTGAGGAAACTTGATTTTTATTTTAACTCATTAAATTTAAAAGAAGCTGGACAAATGCAAGTCGGACTTGCCCAACGAGGGTTCCATAGAAATTTATAGGTACGCAACATAAACGGCCGTATCGTGCCGTATCGTACCGTATCTTTTTTTTACGTTACGCTATGATGTTAGATTTTTTCAGCTTCAAAGAACCGAAAGGACCGGGCCGAGTAAATGGTATACATTTTAACTCGATACTTCCACGCGTTCTCGAGAGAAAGGGTCTTGACAGATAGACGGACAACAAAATGATCCTATTAAAAACAAAAGATTTTTTCAACTTAAACTGTCCCGTGTTGTTCTGTCATATCAGTCAACCTCCGCAACTGGCCTCCACTTCTACTCAACATCAGGTGGGGTGTTTAGGAAAATTTACGCCACCAGTTAGCGCCACTGTGACATGAAGTCTTTTCTTTTGTATGAAATTTTTGGCGTGAATTAATCGAACGAGCATTTATATTGATCCATAGACTATGACAACATAGGTGATTTGACGGATGAGTAGACAGGTATTGTTTTATTATAACGATCATAACATTATAAAATTCATGAAACTCAACTATAAAAACGATACTTCCGTCCAGATTACGAAAGGTACAGGTTCGAATCCTGTCTGAAACCTAGGCCGAGGGGAATTTTGTCTAGTAAAAGTTTTAGATACATACAGATAGCAGTTAAATGCTTAAAAATATAATAACCTAAAATGATACTTGTTCGCGATTGGGACGTGATCGTACGGACTCACTTGATATAGTTGGCCTTCTTGTCCTCCTTCCAGTCCTTGTTTAGTTGGTGAACCTTGCAGGCGGTGTAGCGTTGTTCTCGCAGATCGAATGCCTTGTGCACTTCGCTAAATCCCCCCTTACCAAGTAACATTAGCAGTAGATACCTGCGAATACAATAAACTCATAATGAATGAGTTGCCCTTTTAGTCAAGCACACAAATAATCTACGCGTTTAGCACACTGACGCGGCAAAATAGGAAACCAAAAATACTCATCCCACACCTGCGTGACGAAGCTTCGGGTGGCTTTTGTACTAAAATCCGCTAAAATTAGCGTTCGAACTTTGAATTAAGTATGCTCCTTCAGCTGCGAATACAAATTTATCATTTTCCACAACCTATTTTAGCGTGTTAAATTATCGCTAGTTAAGCTATCGTCGAGCCTTTATAGACACGCAGCCCGCTAATTCATTACGACAGAATTAATTCAAATATCGAACGCTTATTTTAGAGCATTTAGTGCCAAAGCCACCCGAAACTTCGTCGCGCAGAGGTGGGAGATCATCTATACAGATAGAGCAAGATGCATCATACGCGACATAAATTCATAGTGTACGACAGATTAGCGCAGCTTCGCTACCGCGGTTTAACGTGTAGGTGTGCTAAAGGCGCTAATGGTAAAAATGGAACTGGTCAAAAAAAAATAAAAGACAACTGTTCAGTGAAGACATGAATTATAACGCAGTTTGGATCATCTGAGATAATAGTGTTTCCAAAAACGGTCCCATAATTGCAATTTTTTTTTACTTTCTAATATTTTTGGGTACACTTTAGTGACATGTTTTATTTTGTTCGTACACCCTCATCATTCATTCGTGACAGCATAGGTTCTCTTCTCAGGAGATTCTTTCTACATAAAAGGTTTTTTTGAAAAAACACAAGCCCTAGATGTTTTTAAGCATACAAAATTGATGTTTGAATGTGTTTCTGAACTGACCACCTGAGTCGTACACCTGATTGGTCAGTAAGGAAAAAATATTGATGTCGGCTTGGACAATATAATATTGCACAAGCGAACATGTCTTAAGCTCACTTTATGCTCAAGCTCTAAAGCTCTGCGTTCAGATTCGATCAGGACACACTCCACTAAGGCATGGTAAGTGTCCTCTCCTACATCACAGATTGTACAGTTAAGAGATTCAATAACTTTCATTAGGAATCCAAACGCATTCAGTGGATTGTGTCTGGAACGTAATCTCATGATAGTCACAAGAAGTGGCTGATTCATATTTTCTTTGGCAAAAATTTGGCTTTCATCTATGAAACGTAGTTGTTTACTATGAGTGTCATAAGAAGGTTCAAAGTCGCACAGCGAGCAAAAGACAGACCAATTCTCGGTATTTCCTAACTCGGCAGGAGGAGCAGAGAAACCGACTTCGCTCAAAGAATTGCTCTGTTGAAGTGGCAATGGGTACACATAGCTAGGAAAACCGATGGCCGTTGGGGCGGAAATATTTGTGAAATCTATCATTTACCTCCAGTCCCTGTAGTATGAGCACCACAATTTACATTATATCACGTTTTTTATCGCGTCTAACTGTCAAACTCCATAGCAATTTGACATTTCAGCGTGATAAAACGCGATATATATAATCTCGCGGTGCTCATGCTAGGGGGGCAGAAGTACTCATGAAATCTTCACAAGAAATCAAAGAACAGAATTTTGAAGTCTCTTAGAAGAAGCATGCTTTATACTTATTGGTCAAAAAAAGGAAAAATACTCAAAAAATGCATAAGTAAATTACCAGCACTTCACTTGACTATTCGTGTTTGCTATTAGTTATCTTGACATCAGTCTGTCCTTTTCAATCCACATAGAACATGACAAGGACAGAATGTTGTCAAGTTTACATTAGCAAATACTTAGCTTAGTATTTAGCATTATATTTGTGACAAGTATTATTAATATATAAATAAAAACGAGATTAGGTAATATTTCTCACCGATCTGAGAGCACAGGATGCTGTGAAAATCTACTCTGGTCTTCATTGTGTATCCGTTTCAGTTCTCTGATGTGAAGATTTCGTTCTCTTTCTAATTTTTCCATTTCTAATTGCAGGTCAGCGTCCTCTTTCTTTAGTGCACTCTGTCTTAGCTGTAAAAATAATTAGTTATAACATTAGTTACTTTTTGTATTTTTTTTTATAATAAAAAAATATGATTGTTTTATCATATCTTTGCACATACTAATCTGAGCTCGCGACGCTGGCGCTATAAGCGCTGGTAGGCTGCCAGCTTTATCTCTGTATACGGCCTTACATTGCAGTCCAAAAATCTTAGCTGACGTGAAGTTCGTTGGGGTTGGGATAGACAACAAACAATTTTATTTCTAATAAGAATGTGTAGCCAAACGGCTGACTTGAGGCTATTAAATACACACCAGCCATAGATAATCTATAAGACATAGCTGTACGTTCAGATACATAACATTGACCAGTCAGAAGATAGGTAACCAAAATACATTTTATTTCCTCTCGCTTCTTGCTCCTCCATAATTCGGAAGATATGTTTAGTCGTTGACCCGGCCGCATCTAGAGTCGTAAGCACCCACAAATCCGGACTGGACCTGCATAGTGAGTCATGATCCGTTCTCCCTATTCCATCCGCAAGGAAACCTTGGACCCCTACATTGGGAAAATTAATAAGCTGGTAATGACGGTGCATACGGATAACGCGTTCCTTTACTAAACGTAGTCGGGACACGCTGTCCACGCGTACATTGGTTACACGTACTATCCCGCAAACCCGAATTACGAGGCCGAGCGATCCATAACGCTACGCGAGTCCCATCAGTAATTTTTATTCATTATTGAAACTGCGTCCATTTTCCGTCCAAATACAGCGTTCCCGGGCGTGCGCGAATCCCTAAGTGTCTCACAGATGGACACGGCCTGCGTACGTTGGATTTGCTTGCAATGTAAGGGAGTGTTCATACACGATGGATCGTAGCTTCGGTCTGTGGGGCCCTAATAGTGCGTCTACTCACCAGCCTAGCGCGATATATGGAATGCGTGTGCGTGGTCTATGTAAGTCACCGTAAAAAAAACCTTCCTACTTGTTTAGTCGAGTTGGAAGAGCACGCGTTCACCGGCCGATTACTGCCCGTCGATGGTGGAGGCCCAAGTGTCTGACAGAGAAACGCGGCCTATGGCCGCAGCTAAGTTGGCGGCCAATTGGATTGGCTTGCAATGTAAGCGACTGTTCAAACATAATCGAAAAATAAAGGGTGACCGCGGCCACAGGCCGCCTGTCTGTGCGAGACCACAAAACCGACTGACGGTGTCTCACCGGAATCTTTCTCATCATTTCGCCACAAGTATAGATAAAGCGTTCCAGGGCACGCGTAACCGACCATACCGCGGTATCCGTACGCAGCTTGAGACGCAGTTTTCCATACTCGTCTTTTATAAGCAACGATGTGATCAAGAACGGTTTCTTCCACCTTGTTAACGCGAACGTGTAAAACAGGAGAAGATATAGGAAAAGAACAAATAATAATAATAACCTTGAGTATCTCGTCGGCCTCGTAGTACTCCTGCCAGGTCATGCTCGGCAACGGGTCTGGTTTGAGGAAGGTGGGTGCGTCGGTCCCGTTGTGGAGGGGCGGGGGCTGCGCAGGCGCGGGGGGAGCAGTCACTGTCCGCTTGCCCCGCCCGCCCCCGCCCTCGCTGTTCGACGGCCGCTTCTTGAACAATAGCTTCTTCTGCCTGTCGATCTCCTCCTTTTCCGCTGTTATCTCTTCCTGCCGCCTAAGGGACGAGTAAGCAATGATAATAATTATATTTTGATGTGTAACATCTTTCCTCACGCTTTCTTGCAATTTGTGGGAGTGATTACGTGAAGTGGGACGGAAGTTTGGGAAGCGAATGCCATCTGATTTGATTTTAGAACAATGTTCAAATGGCTTATTGCTTTTATAGTAGGTTCTATCTATAATTTTACTAATATAAGGTGAGGTTTTAAATGTTACACATCATACGCGACTACTGTAAGGCTCACTCGTTTTTTTATTTTTTTATTTATTCACTAAACACAATTTACACAAAAACATATTAACAACAATTGGCAATAGCAAACAGCCTAAATTGTGAGTGACTGGTGCCTGAAATAGGTTTCAGAAGAGAACCTGTACACCAGGCTATGCAATGTAAAGGTTAGACCAAATTAATTAACTAGAAGAAGGGGGCAGGGCTAGCGACTATCATTTTTCGGCCAGACGTGATAAGATGGTAACTTATTAAGTAGTGCTTCGTCATAGAAATCACTAACTTAATTACTAGTGCTTTGGTTTTTACTTTTCAGCTTTGTGTTGTCTCGCTAGCTGTAAAATACCTAAAAATCGATTCCGCTATCACTTTCAGTATTAAAATTAACTGTGCAGGTGCCTTCCCGAAATGATTCTTTTTTATTTTATAAATATGCAATTACTGAAAGATAATAATTGTTAGGAACGTGATATATCATAAATTGTCACCATACTTCTTTACCTAGCCTGGGTTATGATTATAATTTTCAATTTACATCAGCATAGTATTTAAAATTAACATTGAATATCTTTCGAACAGACCATTCCTTTATCTTAGTTTCAATGTCACATGATTCACATGAGAATTATTATTACATGTATCGGTCAGTAAAATGTTAGAAACTTTTATTCATAAGCCTATTGATATTGATAGCTAGCCATGTTCAGAAAACGGTACATCGACATTTGAATTCACTTACCCCTCGAACTATCTTTTAATAATAGGGCTGGAATATCAAGCTCGCTTACTTTTCTTAAGGCAGCGATGCCGCTTTCGTTATACCAGAAGACGTAGATAAAAAAAGAAGAGAGAAAGAGATGTAGAAAAAATTTCAATTCACTTCGCTTTTCAGGCTACCTAACATCACCAGTTCTTTCTCTATCGTTAATAAGAAATGATTATTGAGGCAGGTGGCCAAGATAATTTGCATCAATGCATCACAACTAAGTAATAATTAAGCTTAAGTGTAGCAAAATAAAGAATGCAGGCATTAGCATAGAGCAAATGACTGCAACTGTTTTCTTAATTAGAGATTTATACTAACAAGTGTTAAACAATAAACTGCCTAATCTTAGATTTTCAAAATAATGATTTTTATTTATTAACATCATAGATTTGACTTCTCTCATCAAATCATTATGTAAAAAAACATAATTAACTTTTGAGTTCTTAGGACTGTACACAAGGTATGATATAATGATTCAATTAATATATTATTCTTTTGCTTTATGTAAAGAAATAGATGGCACCAATTTTAATCAAACTAATAAGACTTAAGTCGATTCTGGCTTGTGATTCTCTAAACTAAAAACTAAATTTAACATCAGAGTCGCCTTTTCATTCTATAACAAGGATACACTGTTGTCAATTTTAAGTTTAGGTTTAGAGAATCATGCCCGAATCGAAACCAGTGACACATCTGAAATAAAAGACTGCAAATAAATATTGGGGACATTTGACTGTTTTAAACAACGAGACGAAATATTCCATGGAAAGATCGAATTCAGATAAGAACCTCTGGGATTAGAACAGCCTTTGTAAGGAAAAATAAATGGTTTATTATTATTATTATCTCATTAATTTTATTTCATAGTTAGGTTTTTTATAAAATAAACTAAAAAGTAAAATACAAAGACGTAAATACAAAAATAAATATACATAGTACAAAAAAACCTAACCTAGCAGGCCACCAGCAGCGGAGCTAAGTCCAAGCTACTGGTTGTTAGGGCCGCAGAGAAAGAAACCGCCTGACGATGCGCGCTGTTTCCAGGAGTATTGCCTCTTGTATCTGCCCCTTAACCCTACCATCTAGTCAGAGTCACTTTAGATGTTGGTCGAGACTCTTTGCTATGAGACCTTTCACACTAGCAGCTATAGGGAAAATGATAGTCTAATCCACATCCCACAAGGCGGTTACCTCATTGGCCAAGTCCAGGACTTGCTGAGCTTGTCCTCGGCCTTCACGAGGTTCTCGTCATGCGGGATGGTGATATCGATGAGCACTGCCTGGAGTTTCAATTGATCTGTCAATACGATATCAGTCCTATTGGCAACAATAGCCCTGACTGTAATGACAGATTAATCCCAATAGAGCAGTGAAAGAATATTTTCGAGAACTGGGGCCGGTGTGCATACTGTTTATTTATCACTCACCTAGTAAGTTCCTGGAAAGCGTACCCATCCGTCCAATTCTCCTGGAAGGTCGCCCCAACCCGTTGCGTCACAAACTGACCAAGCCTAAGGCGGTTTTGCATACATCGCTGTCGCGCTTCTTTCTTTTCTATAGTACTTTTCTCATTTAATAGTTTCTTAACAACTTCTATACATTTGTTGATGTGTGATTTGTGTTGCTCTATAACCTGAAATATTCATATTAACAATAAAATATCATTGATTTTTCGATTCAACATAGACTATCAATAAAGAAAATCTAGCCTATCTTCACATATATTTTTAAATCTTAAGAAAAAACTTAATTATTTTTTTTTGCTGTTTTATTTTACCCAAACCAAAATTTTACATCAAATTATAGTGAAATATACCCATCAAGATCAATCATAATAAAAAAGAAACTTATAAACCAATAAATAGTACCTTGCTCTGTGCTTGTACTTGATGCTTTAGTTCTTCATTAGTTCTTGTTAATTCTTCTATTTTATTATTTCTTAGTTCTAAGTCAGACGATGCTTGAGTTTCTAACTCTTGTATCCTCTGACATGTCAGTTCTGTTTGAACCTGTGGTAATAAATTCATCATATAAATTACATGGCAAGGCTACCAAGTAAAACAACAACAATAAAGGAGAGAGATCAAATAACATTAATTCAAGCATTCTGCACCAGATGTCTATTTTCCTGCTTCTCCTTTCAAGTCATAATGTAAGATATAATAGATTGGTAAAAATTCTCAAAATTTTTATCACACAAAAATGGACAAATCAATTTCCCAAATGTAGTCCTTACCATTATATTGTTATGTATATGGTAGTGAAAATGTATATGACCGAAAAATCATCAACCTCGCATTCAATTCTAGAAAAAATACTTTTGTAGAACATACAAGATACAAATAACGTAAAAATCCATCACTCTAGGCTATCACCTGGCGACGCCCTTGAGTGATATACCTAGAAAATGGTGTGGACTGAACTGAAAGATACAATGACAAAAACTTTAAGGGTCTTGGTGCAGTACTTTATTAGAACGGATGAAAGAAGTATAACTTAATTTGATAAGTGCATGAGTCACAAGCAGCAGTATGCAGAGATCATTCCAAGATAACATTAGGTGAGCGTGGCAAGCACGAAAATTCGACGGGTATGCATACTCCAAAAATGAATTATCAAAGAAGAGAATGATGTTAACGTAACGGTTATTAGTAAAAGTAGATAAATAATTATTTAAAATGTTTAAATCTACTTAATACCTGTTTAACAGAAGTGTGAGGTCGTTGTTGAGAGGCGGTACGTAAAAAGTCGGCTCCCGAAGGTAGTAACGACGATGGTGACGGTGGGTACTGTAAAAAAGGTAATTTAAAATTTAAATAATTGCTTAATTACGCAAGTAAAAAAGGTACAGAATAACAAAGAAAAGGGAAACTTACTTAGCTTAAAAGAAAGATCAAGTTAAAAACAAAATAAAACACAAATTGATTGCACATGACGTGAGAATTTAAGATGGAAGTGTGGACAATGGATAAAGTGAGGACGGAGAAAAATTAAAATCAGTACCAGTCACTGAAAGATTAACAAGTAACCAGGTGTCATGGCAGGAGATGTAATTAGAAGAAATGAGAGACATGTGGTGACAATGAGTGAGTGAAAATTTATGTTTTCTGGCCAACACGCAGATGAAGACTGAAGAAAAGACAAACTGTGTGATGATTATATTACATGATGTCTGTTAATAGCAAATATTAGGAAAGAAAATCATTGCACAGACCCGTTATAAATTAGGAAAAGGGCAGGTAATTGATGCTGCCTGAATGATTGAATATACACGAGATTAATTATTAAATAATAAAAAAATACCCATTGAAATAGCTAGTGTAATTACAGAACAAGAATACCCTGTATGATGTAAGCACAAGAAAGTAGATCACAATTACATATTCACATGATTGTGGTGGTTTTATTCCAAGATCTTAGGATAATTTAAAAAAAACTTATTAGGGGATATCTTACCATAGGATAATTTGGTGAGGGTGATTTCGCACCAGTATGCCTTACAGGGCTGGACGATGGGTGCTTAGAGAAGTATTCTCTGATGTTTTTGTCAGAGTTGTGTCTTTGTTTGCCCCCTCCACCTCCTCCTCCACCAACACCTTCGTCTCCTGGAAATAAGATAACTTCAAATTATTGTTTTGGAAACCACTATTTACTTCAAATTATTTTTTTTCTAGAATATTCTTTGAATCAGCCTAGGTATTAGATGGGCCTTTTTACTTATTTGATTATGTACTATTATGTGTTAACCTATACAGATCAATAAAAATAATAAATTCATAAAAAATGTTATAGCTATATATCCAATTTGTTCTCCTCAAAAAAATAAACTACTCTACTTTTGCATTTAAACAATTAAACAGTGAACAACCCTATTCAACATTAAATTTATAAAATATATATCTATAATGAAAATATGGGTGACTATACCTTTTCGTTTCCGCTTCCTTTCAGGCATAGCTATTGTAGGTGTGGCACCACTTGGTGGCACCAAGGCAGCGCCCGGCGCTGAATTTGAGCCTCGCATAGCTGCTGACTTTTCAGGTGTCAAAGCATCTACTTCTTTATCACTATGCGATGACCCTGAAAAAGCATTAAATTTTTGTCTTCTAAACACCCTACTGAACTTATTATGATTATGAGCATGATAATTACAAATAAGTTGATAAATTAGAAAATAATCTGTCATTTTATACTCATTCACAATATTATGTGCAATACAATATAAACAGGTATAAATAAATTATATAAACAAGTCTTTTAGTTCTCCAGGACTGCCTACTTCTAAAGAAACTGATGACAGACTGTATCATTCCCACTGGGTACTGAACAAAGTAAAGAACCAACCATAATATTCCACTAAAAGCTACATACAGAATAATACATAAAATTCTGGTATCTAGCACGAGTTTATAACTCACTTTTAGCCAAGGGGCTCAGTAGTCCGACGCAGTTTATGATAACTCCACTGTCATAGTGGTGCATTTTGTCGAGAGATAGTCTCGCACCATGGGAAGAAAACCACCACTTTCACAGTTCCGATTCGGCATCATCATACACAATAATATGACGTCACAATTTTTAGTTTGATATCAGTCACTTTATTGCACTTGTTTTCTTTTTCTCGTAAAGGTTAGTTTATTGTTTAGTCCACCGGTATGGTAATCACTCACTACACTTGTTCACAGATCACAGATTTGACGGCACTTTTAACACGTAAATCACAATTTACCTGTGCTCATATTGGAGTCCTGATTGAGAAGTGGTTGCCCCGTGTTGACAGTAGTTTGTGGTGCCATCTGAATTTGTGACCCAGCTGACATCTGTAAAGAAAGATGGCGTCTTTACATATGACTCGTTTATTTTGTCCCCACTTGAGTATAGAACTTGGACACTATTCTTGTTCATTTTAGAACAAACACTCACAATTTACGCTCTATGCAATTTATCCATATCTATTATTTTGTAATAATTTTCACTATAAACGTCTAAATAACCTAACTAGTTTGACAAGTTGTAAACGCCAGTCGCGACAATCGGATCGGATACGCATCCGCGGGGCAAGCGAGGAGGGGGGTGGAGGGAGAGTGGAGATCGTCACGAAGTTTGCTCCGAAGTAATAATAATACCGACGGGCGAGGCGCCATTTTACAAGGATACAAGGCCGAAAGTAAGAATTAAATGAAATTATTTTACTACAACTCATCAAATCATTCATCATCGTATTTATAAACTCGAATTTTATAGTTTGTTTATTGAATACACACACCAATTTAGTTTGTTGTCACGGTAAAGGAATGATTGCTAGTTCACATTCATTCGCACGGAGTTAGCGGCAGGTCAACAGCCCGTGATTGCAATCGTACTTGTTGACCAATTTTGCACAGAATTTATTCCGCAATGTCAGGTAAAACACTTTAAATATATTCATACCTATCATATTTTTTAATATGTTAACATTCAAAATCCACGATGACGTGTTATAAATTGTACTGTTTATGTTGACCGATTATTCCCACAATGAGGTGGCACAGGCGGGTGGCAAGCGGCATGCCACCGACCGCGGCGAACGAGTACGTGATATCGGCGCTCGTGCCCCACAACAAACTGCTTACTGGACGTGTTTAGGCTGGGCGCACATATCAGATTCTTGATCCGATTCTTCAATTCGGTGCCCCGATCGAATGAACCTCGCACACGGACGGTTGAATGTACTCAGTGTTTACGTCCCGAATAGAAATGCAGGTAATGTCGAAAATAGAAACATCGATGGTTTTAGTAGTTGCGTTTGTATTAAATAAATAATATATGTATATTATTCGATATCTTTACAGGCTTTAAATGTGTCATAAAGGGGGTAGCGGGTTAAGGGGGGTCTGGCGGCCCCCACCGAATCTGGTAAAATCGTTCCAAAAATCTTGAAGACGGTCGAAAAACAAGCAGTATAAGCTTTTTACCGACATTACAACCCCAAACGAAAACACAGTAATGGCGAAAAATATGTTTTTTTGTGATTTTTATTTTTTTCAACCAGTTTAATTTATTCTTAAATGGTTTAAATGCAATTAAAAATTTGTGTTTGATGCGTGGAAGTCCCCTGAATTTTTTCAGATTTTTTGGTCAAGTAAAAACATGTGAATTTTAGGTTTAAATGCGAAAAAATCGTGAAAAACGCGTCATTTTCAAGATTCAACCCTCTTATTTTTAGGGTTGTTTTCATTTTCCCGAGGGGTGCTGTATAGTATAGATAGCGGCAATCACCTTCTTTCGAATGCAGGCAATTGAACTCAATTTGGTCAATTCTGGTGAGCGGGGCGATTTTTTGAAAAAAACTCGAATTTTCAACTTTCGGTAAATTACGGCGCGTACTTGGTATAATGCGTCTTTGCTATAAAAAATATATCTCTATAGGGGTTTTCGAGGTCGCTGATCACGAATTTGTTGAAAAAAATTTTTTGACAACAAAATCACCCATAAATATTTATTAACACAGGTTTGATAATGTAAAAATATTAATGAAAGATTTTTTTAATTTCTCTCAACAACTACATTATCAAACCTGTGTTAATAAATATTTATGGGTGAATTTGTTGACATTTTTTGACATCATATTCGTGATCAGCGACCTCAAAAACCCCTATAGAGATGTATTTTTTAATAGCAAAGACGCATTTACCAAGTACGCGCCGTAATTTACCGAAAGTTGAAAATTCGAGTTTTTTTCAAAAAATCGCCCCGCTCACCAGAATTGACCAAATTGAGTCCAATTGCTTGCATTCGAAAGAAGGTGATTGCCGCTATCTATACTATACAGCACCCTTCGGGAAAATGAAAACAACCCTAAAAACAAGAGGGTTGAACCTTGAAAATGACGCGTTTTTCACGATTTTTTCGCATTTAAACCTAAAATTCACATGTTTTTACTTGACCAAAAAATCTGAAAAAATTTAGGGGACTCCCACACATCAAACACAAATGTTTAATTGCATTTAAAAATAAATTAAACTGGTTGAAAAAAATTAAAATCACAAAAAATCATATTTTTCGCCATTACTGTGTTTTCGTTTAGGGTTGTAATGTCGGTAAAAAGCTTATACTGCTTGTTTTTCGACCCTCTTCAAGATTTTTGGAATGATTTTACCAGATTCGGTGGGGGCCGCCAGACCCCCCTTAACCCGCTACCCCCTTTTAGTTAATTTGTTCAGTATTTATTAATATAAAATGCATTGCAAAATTACAGAGTTTATACGCAGTGAAACGTGGAAAACGAGATTTTCTGTTCTAATTGGAGTGCCCGTCTGGGACTTCCATCCACCTTATAGACCACCACAGTAAAATAACATTATCTTTTGGTGGTATTGCCTTTTTATTTTGGTAAATAAGTTTCCAGGAAGGCTCCACGAGGTAAAGGACTCAGTTCAGTGTCAGCTATCTTAGTGACTGGGCTCCATTTATACTTAATATCAGGTGGGGTGAGGTAATATGCTACGCCTCGTCTTATAAAAAACCGCACAAGTGCGTTTCTTGCCAAATTTCAGAGTTCTAGATCAACGGAAGTATATACCTTATACATTTTGAGTCCCTTGTGAGTGTCGACATATACACGTTTTTACGGCGTCAACATCTGTATCTTTTTTAATATTAACTGAATTTAGTTTTTTTCACAGCTTCAAGGGATTGTATACTTGAGTATCTGGCTTTAATTTAAACTTGATACCTTGATAAAGGGTATTGACAGAAAGAAGGACAACAAACTGATCATAGAAAAAAATCGTTTTTTCCTTTCTTTACAACAGACATATTACTTTCTATTCCAAATGACGGTTGGTGAATGTTTGGTGTTAAAGATTCCCAAATGCAGAAAGACGATAGCCAAAGTGCAGCGTATATTGTGAACGGTCAAGAATCAGATTGGCCCTCAAGGATGAAAACTAGTTCAAAGATAATTATGATAAATCTGATGTGCCTTGATAAAAACATATTTTGTGGTAAAATAATAAATAAGATTAAAAAACAAGGATGGGTGACCATATCTCGAGATCCTCCATGCTTTGGAAGGCACATTAACACTTTGGTCGCGATTAACACGTAGAGTCGTTAGCACCCACCGATCTGCATTGGGCAATCGTGGGTCATGCTGATGTCATCCGTAGGGGATATTTATAGGCTGATAAAGAAGTTTACCTTCTGGATACACAAAACCAGACTTGGTGCGCGAGTCCGACTCGCACTTGAGCAGTTTTTTTTTTATTTTTCATCTGTATTGTCACTATCCTTTGATGGTTCTTGGTAAAACTGGTCGTCATTATCATACAAAATATTTCGCGCTAATGTGCTAGTCGCTATCTTGACCGTCCAGCCGACCCGAGACACCGTCCAATATGTTTGACCGAACGATGTGATTTTTGACCATCCTAACAATACATGTGCGGCTCGTCATGCAATGTGACCAATGTTCTCAATTAAGGCATTTTTGTGATATGCAAAGGAAAATTTAATACTTGAGGAAAATCTCATAAAAATAATTTATTCATCTGTAATATCAATTACAGATGAATAAAATAAGAATACATCAGTATTATTGCACCGATCATTTTCTGAATTCCAACTATTTATTTAAGTGAGAGTTTTGGGGAAATTTAAATATCATTGTGGGGTAGTATTGTCATGAACGGCCCGTATATTTTGTTTATTTTGATTTGTAAAAGTGACGTTTTTCGGCAAAACAAGGTTGTATGCAAGATAACAACATATTAAAGGTAAAAATAATTGCTGGGGCCGCTAAACAATTTTTTGTGGGTTTGAATACCCAATTATTATATTTTATAAGTAATTTTTCAGCATTTCTCTAAGTTTCTCCATATTTTGAATGTCAAAAAAAACTTTTCTTACAAAATAAAAACTATAATATAATAATCATTAAACAAAACCACTAAAAATTTAAAGAAAATTCCACTAGAAAAAACTCCACGCGGACCAGGCAGCAAACGGGACTCGTACCCGCACCCTTCGCTATCTGGGCGAATACACTGACCATAATGCTACCGCGGCCCTGATAGCCGTGTCGAATTCTCTCTAGTGTTTCTTAAGCTGCAAGGCATCGCTTCGCATTGTAGGTAACCCACAATGTCAAATGAATAAGTTTACAAGTATTTAACATTTGAAAGAAGAAACAGCAATTATATTGATATTTTTAATTTTTTAAGCATTGTGGGATAAAAATGTAGGATGTTCTCAATTCGAGTGTATCTTTCAGAAGTGAAGCTTCTGTAGTAGCTTCTTTAGTACCGTTGTGATTTGAAACTCGAAAATTTAACAGTATTTAAAACAAGGTATCCGTAATTTTAGAACTCTCTGCAAGAGACAGATAACCGAACGAAAACGGTCTTGGGGTCGACACCAAATGATCGGTGGTTCAATCCTAATGGTAGCCATACACACTACGAGAAATCGTTACGATCAGACTATACAGTTCGAACGGAACAGTTTATCGTACGTGGCGTACGTATAGGAAACTGTGCAGTTTAATAACATGCTACGATTTATCGGTACCGTTCGGACTGTACAGTCTAATCGTAACGATTTCTCGTAGTGTGTATGTCTACCATAACCCTGAGCTCGGTTATTTTTCAATTGTTTTTTTTTTTCTTTTATTAAACTATTATTTAATTTCAGAACAATTTAAGTACAGAATATTTAAATATGCCCAGTATTTTACAATACCTGAATAGTTAAGTACTAAACGTTTGGTAAGTGCCTTAGTTGTTTATTAATACAGGCTTGGTTAAGAAGAATCCTTACCTTTCCAATGTTTGCAATTTTT